AGAAGGACCTCCATAGGCTGCTTCTGGATGTGCTCAACCCTCCCAGGTGAGTTAAAGGGGGTGGAAGACTCTTTGCCACTTCCACCATTGAGCAGTGGAGTTCGTTTTCCTTCCCCTTGAATCTGAGTTGGTCTTTGCTTGAACCGTGGAATATGATGGAAGGAGTGCTATGCCAATTCTGGGCCCGGCAGCTTCTGCCTTCATGCTTTTGGGAGCCCTGATCCCAAAATAAGTCTAGGTACCCTGATGGAGAAATTGTGTGGGCAGACTCATGGAGACACAGAGAACCTGAGAGAGAGGCCTGGCACCCCCAGCTGGCCCTGCCCAGGCAGCATATACGTGGGGGAGTCATCTTGGATGCTGCTGCCTGGTCAAGTGCCCAGACGCCATCATCGGGCAGGAGAACTGCCCAGCTGAGCACAGAATCATGAGAGGTCATCACAAAGGCTGCTGTTTTAAGATGCTTAGTTTTGGGGTGATCTCCTATTCTGGTAGTAAAGCATCCTTTTGAAATTCTCCCTCACCTGCTCACTTGGTGGGGCTGCCAATTAAAAAAAATGCCCTATCCTGACCAGGCACAGTGGCTCACACCTGTAATCCCAGCACTTTGGGAGCTGAGGCAGGTGAATCACCTGAGGTCGGGAGTTTGAGACTAACTAGCCTGACCAACATGAAGAAACCCCATCTCTAATAAAAATACAAAATTAGCCGGGCACAGTGGCACATGCCTGTAATCCCAGGTACTCAGGAGGCTGAGGCAGGAGAATTGCTTGAACCCGGGAGGTGGAGATTGCGGTGAGCCAAGATCACGCCAGTGTACTCCAGCCTGGGCAACAAAACTCCATCTCAAACAAACAAACAAAAAAGGCCGGGCGCAGTGGCTCACGCCTGTAATCCCAGCACTTTGGGAGGCCGAGGCGGGTGGATCACGAGGTCAAGAGATTGAGACTATCCTGGTCAATATGGTGAAACCCTGTCTCTACTAAAAATACAAAAAAATTAGCCAGGCATGGTGGCATGTGCCTGTGGTCCCAGCTACTCAGGAGGCTAAGGCGGAAGAATCACTTGAACCCAGGAGGTGGAGGTTGCAGTGAGCCAAGATTGTGGCACTGCACTCCAGCCTGGTGACAGAGCAAGACTCTGTCTAAAAAAAACCCAAAACACCCTATCCCTTCCCCCACAGGAGTGGATGCAGGATCCAGGCCTGATCAGTAGAATGACTCATCCCTGGCAATAGTGATTGGTCCAGAGATGGGCATGTGACCCAAGATGAACCAATCAGAGCCCTTCCCTGGCTTTTACATATTGATGCTGGGTGAGAAAAGCTCTCAGATTTTTCTGGGATTGCTAAATTGGGCTGATGTAAACCCTGAATCTGTGGTTATGTCCCCCACTTCCATTCCCACCCCCGCTCAGTATGGAGCAGTCCGGGCCACACGAGAAGGAAGGAGGCTAAGACCGGGACAGAGCAGTGGTGGTGACACCTCTGGGTTCTTTGTGTTTCTGGGCCAGTTCTTCCTCTGGACTTTCCAGTTTCATGAGCCCATAAATGTTCTTTTTTCCTTAAGTTAGTTTGAGTTGATTTCTGTCACTGCAACTGATGGGATCCATTTCATGCCAATTCTGTTTCTTCGCCTTATCTAACTAGAAATAGCATGGGCTGCACTGTTCTTTATCTCAGAGGCTCAGTTCTCACGGGAAAGGAAAGGAAGTGTACACGTGCTCTGTCATAGTCCCCACTGCTGGGTGCTTTCCTCTTACCAACACCACTGCCTTCCAGGGAGGTGCCTCCTGACTGTTTTTCAGGGTAGGATGGCAGCAGGTCAGAAGCTGAGGGGCAGAGACTTATTGAGGTGGGATCTGTGGTTCAGGACGCCCCCCCCTCCCTTATTCCCTCTCAAAGTGCGGGGCTCTGGGACAGAATGAAGCAGAGACTGGGCGGGGGATGAGGGGAGAGGAAAGGGAATCCCATTAATGTTTCCAGTCCTAAATCAATTTAATGGGAGCCTCTGATGACTCTGATTTGATTTTTCATTTTCAGTATTACAATTATCTGCCTGATAGTACCGGCAGCTCAAGCTTGAAATGGGACGACATGGCAGAGGCTGTCAGAAAGGGAATAGGACCAGATTGCACCAATTATTGAACATTTTGCTAATGAGATACCCAATGCATCGCTCTCATTTACAGCACGGGAAACAAATGCTTAGCACTGTCACTGTTATTCTTCCTCATCTAACAGAAGTTGTCACCCAAGCTCTCCTTGGATCTTACATCCCAAGGAGAACTTCCATTTCAGGATCCTTCATCCCCAGAATACTGCATTGTTTAGAATCAGAGAACCCCTGATGTGTACCCTTAGGTCTTCTTGCTTCTGTCTGAGGAGACGGAATGCAGATGTCTCCAGTGAGCTCTGCCCCATGGGATGACACCATGCCAGGATGCAGGGTGTGTGGTGACAAATTTCAGGTACCCCAAACCAAAAACCAGGTGGCTCAGAGGAGAATCGGTGGAAGGAATCAGGCTGGGGGGTGTTTACGGTCAGAAACCTTCCTTCTCTTTTGCAGATGGGGAAACTGAGGCTCAGAGAGGGATACAACTTGGTTAAGGTGCCATGGATGGTTGTGATCGACCTATGCCTGAACCCCAGCTCTCCTGACCCCTAAGCTGACAGTTTTTCTATCCACTGTGAGTGGCCAGTGTGACCTCGAGGTTGTTTACATCTTCACTGCAACTGACCATGTTGGTAAGTCTGGCTCAGAGAGGAAACAGAATTATCCGATGTGTACAGGCACTGCTCTACCCTGGCTCTGCCCGTTATCTGCAGGCCTCACACTTAGCACATACATGGGCTTTTCTCTGGGGTTGGAAGGCCTGGATTCAAATCCTACATCTGCTACTTACCAGCTGTGTGACCTTGGCCAAATTTGTCAACCTTTTGAACCCCAAAAGGAACAGAGCAGCATGAGAGGCTCATGAAAACCAGGTTTGAATGGTTTAGCTAAAAGAGCCACTTTCCAACCTGGATGCCCCAAGGTTCAGAGAGAGAGGTTTCCATTATTTTACTTCAGTGATAAAACTAACTGCTATGATATATCAAGGGCCCACTGCTCCAGGCTTGTGCCAAATGCTTTATGTGTGTTTTCTTCCTTAACTACTTAAGTGCTAGGAGGCAGAACTGTTATGCTCATTCTATAGCTGAGAAAATTGAGGCTGTCAGAAACCAGGTGACTAGACGCTCGTGGCACATGGCAAAGCCAAGACTGAAGCCCAGCTTGTTTCCAGAAACCATTAGGACAAGATGGATTCCCTGGGTCCTTCACCCTGCCCAGGATAAAATGCTTCTGGGCTGGGGGGACTGCATGCCCTGGCGACAATGCTGGCAAAGCCCATTCACTGCTCCCTAGCTCCTGGTCCTCAGAGCTCAGCCCCCAGGACACTCGCTCCTGGAAACATGGTCAGCTCTGCTCTGACGAAGTTCATTATCTTTATCAAATTAATTTACACAAGCCAGTGTGGCCACCTAATGAAGACATTTCACAGGGCCCTGTGCAGGCTGGTTAATGAGGCAGGAGTGGCTGGACTCAGGTTCCGAGTGTCCTGGGGTGAAGAGGAGAGCAGAGCTGTCAGCGTGACTATCACTGCTGTGGGGTTCGCACTCTGCCGCGGTCCAGGGCTGTGAATGATCACCGCTGGTCATTTCCTCCATCCCCCTGCCGAGGCCCTCACTGCACTAGGTGCCAGTTGATCACTCCAGGACTTCTTGAGCAGGCAGATGTGCTGTGACCTGCAGTTCCTGGGAGGCCGTCCTTTATTCTAGCGCAGATAGATTCCTTGCTCCAAGCTCCTCCTTGTTAATTTTTTAAGTGACTGAGCTACGACTTTCTTCTGTGTCTGCTAATGGCTCAGCCCTGCAGCAGAATGCCCCCAATTTGGTAAATGAGCTTCTTTTCTTTCTGCAAATGAGATTTTTAAGATGGGAGGAAAAGACGTGTGGGACTGAAAGCTGAGAGGCCAATGCAGAATGGCAGCGGCTCCACCTGAGCAAGGATGGCTGTCATTATGGGTAGAAAGACGAGGAGCTGCTGGGGAGCCTGCTCCTTAGGAGAAGTGGAGGACCGGGTGCAGACAGCCTCATTTCTGGTTTGAGCAACCGGACAGAGAGTAGTAAGCCTTGCCAATTCATTCATTCATTCATTCATTCACTCACTCACTCACTCACTCACTCACTCACTCACTCACCAAATACATGTGAATATACACACATATGCCCACCTATTGTACGCCGGGCCCTGGGTGCCAAGTACTGTTCATAAAGCCACGAACAACACAGACCAAACCCCTGTCCCCACGGACCCAACATTCTAATAAGAATTTAAATTCCTCACTTAGAATCTTAAAATTTTGAGTCTTAGTTTCACCCAAGCTTAAAACCAGGGACTCTTCACTGTGGCTGTATTAACTTGCATTCAGCGAGCACTGACTTCATGCATTGTGTCCCTCAGTCCTCCCAGTGACCCTGTGTGGTGGAGTCTAGGGTTGTCCCCATTTTATAGGTGACGCTATTGAGGCTTAAGGAGAGTAAGTTACTTTGGCCAAGTTCACACAGCCCTGCAGCCAGGATTTGGCCCAGGCCTATCAGGCACCTCTACCACCCTCTGCTTCCTCCCTCATCTTACAAATTGGGGTAACTTTCAACAGGACCTCCCAGAGCTGGAAAGGACTGTCCTCCCTGCCTGCAGAATCTGCTGTGGTATCTCTTGAATGAGGCCATGAGGCCCCCACCCAGTTCCACGTTCCTTCTTGTCCTGATCCTCAAGTACCCAGGGTCTCGCCTCCCTGCCCAAGCCCCTTCCTCACCACACCAGCTACTTCCATCCCCACTCGACTGGCTCCTCCTCTTCCTTGCTCAGCCAGACTCTTGTAGCCGGCATCCCTGACTCCCCGACTCTTTGCCTTTACCCCTTCTCCCAGCCTGCTGGATCAGCTTATGTTGGCAGTAGAGCCATCCCTGGTCACAGGAAGGAGAGAATGATAACGATGGAAGCAATACTCACTAGCCCTATGGCAGGCTTAGTATGCGCCATCCTGCCTCATTGAATTCTCCCAATGACTGCCAGGTAAGTAGCGTTATTTCCATTTGACAGTGCAGGGAATGGGGCTCAAGGAAGGGTGTTTCTTGCCCAGGGCACACAGATAGTAAATGGCAGGGGTGGGAACTGAACCCAGGACTGCGGCTCTAGAGTCCACATGAGTCATAACTGATGATGTGAGGAGTCTGGAAGCTGGGCTGGCCATGTGTGTCCTCCCAGGAGAACTCCCGACTCAGTGATGCTCTCTAAGATGGGCCCAGGTCAGACACAGTGCCCGTAGTCCCAGCACTTGGGAGGCGGAGGCAAGAGGATCACTCGAGCCCAGGAGTTCGAAGCCAGCCTGGGCAACATGTTGAGACCCTGTCTCTACAAATAATTAAGAAAATTAGCTGGGCATGGTGACATGTACCTTTAGTCCCAGCTCCTCAGGAGGCTGAGGTGGGAGGATTGCTTGAGCCCAGGAAGTTCAAGGCTGCAGTGAGCTATGATCATGCTGCTGCACTATGGAAGGAGACCCTGACACACGAGAGAGAAGGAAAAAAAAGGGATCTGTAAACAGTTGCCTGATTTGCAGGGAAGGGAGCAGGAAGAAGGCTGGAGTAGCCTGCTGATGGAACAGCTGGCCTCTGCTCAACAGCAAAGAACTCTGTGGCCAACGCCTCCCTCCTGAGCACTCAGGAGGCCAGAGGTTCCACAAGGGTTACTGCAGTCTCATTCCATTGTGATGCTCCCCTCTGAAGTAGGCTTCCCTCCCAATCCATTTTTCTTTTTCTTTTTAGATGGAAACCCACTCTATTGCCCAGGCTGGATGGAGTGCAATAGCACAATCTCAGCTCACTGCAACCTTCACCTCCCGAGTTCAAGTGACTCTCCTGCCTCAGCCTTCTGAGTAGCTGGGATTACAGGTGTGTACCATCATGCCTGGCTAATTTTTGTATTTTGAGTAGAGAGAGCATTTCGCCATGTTGCCCGGGCTGGGCTTGAACCCTGGCCTCAGGTGACCCACCCGCCACAGCCTCCCAAAGTGCTGGGATTATAGGCGTGAGCCACCGTGCCGGGCCTCCAACCTCTTTCAAGCTAGAGGAAGGATCATCAAGACCAGTTCTTGGCCACCTCCTTTGAAATCCTGCTTGGCTGGTCTCACACCTCACCGTGGAATGAGGATAAGGTTGGCATCTATTGTCTTAGGGCCTCATCCAAAACAGAGGCCAAAATGGTTCCATTTCAGCACCTAGTACTGCCTGCCTCAGCCTCTCAAAGTGCTGAATTACAGGCAGCAGCCAGCGTGCCTGGCTCGAATCTCATTTTTTCGTCACTGCTCAGTCTTAAAATTATCATGATTTTTTAACTTGTGTTTTTTTCCCTTCCTCTAGAATGTAAGCTCCAGGCGGGCAAGAACTTGATCTTCTTCACTCAAAGCTGAAGCCCCAGCAGGTACAATCCCGTGCTGAGTCGCTTATTCATCAGCAGAGAGGAACACTGATTCTCTTTGGAAAAGACAGACTGTCTAGCCTCCTGGAACTGCGGCACAGTCTCACTGAGGGCCTGCTTCCATTCCAGTCAAAGAGAGACAAAAAGAAAAAACGTGAGCCACCACCCCTTCTTTCTGTCCCAGCTTTAGTGCTGCCACGGCCGCCTCCTGCTCCTCTGCTCAACCCCCACCTCCATCTGTGATGTCAGTGTGGCTGCCCCTGGGATCCCAGCCTGGTTTGCCTTTAAATTTTACAACCTTGTTTATGCAGCTCAAGGCCTGTGTGCTAAAGACCACATGCTCCATTGAACATTTATGGCTGCAAATGGCTCCTCCGTGCGGGCAAGGGAGGGGGCTGCTCGTGCTTAGGATGAGGAGGCTGGGATGGGGAGGCTGCCAGCTCTCAGCCTCCACTCCTCGCTCTTAGGATTCCTCCCTTGGCTGACTCCCCAGTCTTATTCCTGATGACATTGCTCAGTTCACATTGTCCAAACCCGTGCCTGGGCGCTGCTAGGCATGGGATAGAGGTGAACAGGCTTGGCCACTGTCTTAGGTGGCTGCAAGGGGGCATGAGGATTTGGGTACAATCTGTGCTCCCAGGAGAAAGAGCAAGGGAGTGGGGGAAGCAGGGGAGGAGCTGAGGAGGTGGGAGCCACCAAGCCTGGGTGTGATTTCCAGCAAAGCCCCACAGAGAGTGTCATCAACCTCATTTGGCAGGGCACTCTGGAGTTGGTTCCGACTTGAGGGCCTGTCAGTCATTGGCTGAGGATGAGGCTTTCAGCTATCAACTCCCACACCGCTCACCTCCCTGTAGCTGTGGGGCCGGTGATGTTAGGAGTTGCTGAAGAAGAGATGCAGGGGCAGCCATGGAGGGGAAGGCCAAGGTCAGCAGGAGGCTCACAGGACAGTGATGGGAGGGGAAGCAATACCTGACGGGCTTAGCTACAGGTGCTGACAGGTTCACAAGCAGGTGGCAGAAGGCAGTTAAATAAATGAGATAATACGGCACCCTCTCCATGACCACACACACACTGCTCATGCCTGTGAGTGCTTGGAATGCGTTGGGCCTCATTCTGCTTGTTGTATATGTCCTGTGATGCCCCACGAGGATGCTCTCTGGTGGATACTGGTATTGTTATCCTCATTTTACAGGTGAGGACATGTGAGCACAGGGAGGTTATGCCCCTCCCAAAGACAACAGCTACTTAGTGAGAGACTTGGACCCCAGAACCTACACTTTATAACTAGTTTACAGTTCTGGGGGGTCAGGGGATCTTGTATGAGGAGTCCCTAGCCTGGCCTCGGTGGAGGTCAGGGAAGTCTTCCTGGAGGAAGGGGTTCCTGGTAGCAACTTGCTGGTTCTGGTATTCCCTGTGGATTGGTCAGTTGCTCATTATTCACTGAGCTCTGAGAGGGGCTGGGCTCTGCTCCAGGCCCTGGTTGGACAGCAGGGAACAAGGCCTGGGGAAATGACTCCCGAGGAAATGGACATGTGTGATCCTGGGTTCCAGGGAGGCAGGGAGGGAGGACAAGTAGCAGAGACACAGCGAGGGTCTCCCTGGAGCCATGAGGAGATGGGAGGGACAGGAAGGCCTAGGGTGCTTTGGGTCCCGAGCCTGTGGCTGCTTCTAGCCAGGAAAGAAACCAACATTACTTAAAGAACGGATTCATGTAACCAAATGCCACCTGTTCCTCCAAAACGTATGGTAATAAAAAAATTTTTTTAAAAGAGTAACATGGTGAAACCTGTCTCTACTAAAAATACAAAAAATTAGCTGGGCATGGTGGCATGTGCCTGTAATCCCAGCTACTCAGGAGGCTGAGGCAGGAGAATTGTCTGAACCCAGGAGGTGGAGGCTGCGGTGAGCCGAGATCGCGCCATTGCACTCCAGCCTGGGTAACAAGAGCGAAACTCCATCTCAAAAAAAAAAAAAAAAAAAGAGTAAGCAGCAACAACAGCAAAATAAATAAATAAATTTAAAAATAATTAAAAAAAGAAACTCACATTACTGAGTGCTTACAAAGTGCCAGGAGCCACCCTAAAAACAGTCATGTGGGGTGTAGCCATTGTCACCTGCAGATTCAGACAGGGAGCCGGGGCTGCAGAGGTGGAGGTGCTCTGGTGGTGCGGCCGGCTGGTGGCAGAGCGGCGGCTGGGTGTGTTGCTGGGAGAAGCAGAGGGGACCCTGGTGGATCGATAGCTGTGGGGAGAGAAAGGAAGGCTGAGGACGCAAAGGGACGTAATGTTAAATTGCTTTTACAGGCGCTGGGTGTCTGCACAGATGGTTCCTCCATCATCCCAAGGTGCTTGTAAATTGTCACCTCTGCCTCCCATAGCCTCGGAGAAGGAGAGAGTGTCTGACCTCCCCACCCTGGCATTTCTGCATCCTGAGAAACTCACTGCCTGTGGAAGCTCCAGGCCCTCCCCACCTTGTCAGACACAGGTTCTGCTGGAAGGAGCCTCCAGCCTCTGGCTTTGCAGCTGAAGCTCAGAGCTGCCTGTGGGGGACCAGAAGGTAAGAACAGACCTGGGTTCTAACTTCCACAGCGCCTCCTGCTGGCTGGGGAACGGGGACATGTCATGTGCCTCTATGAGCCTCAGTTTCCTCATCTGTCCAATAGGTATGCTAAGCCTCTCAGGCCTGCCCCAGCCTTGCAGAGGGGGTAGGAGAGCAGGATTTCCCATCTCAGACCTCAGAGACAAATGTGGCTGCCAAACACAGTCTGACTCAGTGCAGGCAGCCCTGGGCCCCGTGGGGCAGGCCCTGTGAGGGAGGGCGGATGTAGGGGCGCCCAGCTGCCTATGTCCTCTGGGAGGGAGGCTCCTGATGCCAGGAAAGAGCATGGACTCCAAGTCTAATTGGCTTTCTCTGCCCATCTGTGGGACCTTGGGCAAGCCACACAATTTTTGGAGCCTCCATTTCTGCAGGGCTCCTGCTAAGTCACCAGGATGCCTGTTTTCTGGTGTCCGAGGTGAGGGACCACCCCCTAATATATCTTTTTGGATCAATTTCTGGAACATTCCAGGTCTTTTTAGGCCTTTCCAGGCCCTTAGCCACTGCTCCTGCTGTGTACTAACAGCCTAAGTGGGAGTAGGGGGTGGGCTTTTACTGGATCTAAAGGAGCTGTCTTCAGGGAAGGATGCAAAGTCAGGGGCACAGGCTTCTCACTCTCTTGTCCAGCTTCCCAGGAGCCAGAGGCCGGAGCCCCAGACCAAGAGGCCTCGACTCCTCAGCCTCTTCTTCCCCGCTGCCTGGGCCTCCTCCTCCCCAGTCCTCTTGGCCATTTACTCTTCATCAGCTCCACCATTCTTCTCTTCCAAGCGGCAGCAACCAGAACTGAAGTCTAGCTGTGCATCAGTCACACCAACAGTAACCATAACGCAGGCAGTTTGCCCCTGAACCCGCAGTCCTGTCTGCTCGGGGCTTACCCGTGTTGCTTCACCCGTTGGGTGCATCACTGGCTCACCGATGCCCCTCACCGTCTCGAATGCCAGCTCAGGCCTGTGTAGAGAGCCTGGGCCCCAGTGTCAGACAGACCTGGGCTCAGATGTGAGTTCCACCACCTGCCACGGTGGCCCTGGCTTTGACCTCCCCATGCCGGGCCTCAGTTTCTTCATTGGTCAAGACTGAAGCATGGTGATGGCCTCCTGCTGGGTGTTACTTCGAGGCTCAGCAGGGCATATGACTCACACATCTAGGAGAGTGAGGGGCACGTGACCCATCTGCCCACTACAGAGTGCGTCCTTGCTCCTGCCCTTAGGGAACTGACTCCTGGGTTCAAGGTAGCAAAACACAAAACACAACTGACAATGAAGTGATGATGCAGATCGGTGTGGTAGACACACAAGGCGGTTCAAACTCTGCCCTATCCCCAAGGCTCTCACGGCCAGGCATGGGAGACAGGTAACAGCATCTTTAATAAAATTACGGTCATAACATCTTTAATAAATACTAAGGATAATCTATTGAGTTAGGCTAGGAACTTTAAAGAGCTTTATATGGATTTTATTTTAATTCTCACAAACCCTGAGAAGAAAGACGTTATTATCCTTAAGTTACCAGTAGGAACTGAGGCTCAGAGAGGTAAGGTTTCTTGCCCAGGTTCACACAGCAGAGCACAGAGCAGATGAGACTGAGCTTTGAGCCCAGATCTGCCTGATATGAAGGGCCATGCTCTTACTTTATCTGCTCTATCCCTCTGTGCACAAGTCTGTGATCTTCCAAATGCCATTTCTGTGCCAAACCAGGTGCTGTTTCTGCATTAATACCCATCCTGATTACTGCAGTTTTGGTTGCAAGTGTCAGAAAAGCCAATCTAAAGAACTTAAATAATAAATAGAATTCACTGACTCACATAACTGAAAAAGAGGTAGTTCCTGCTTCAGGCAAGGATTGATCCAGCTGCTAATGCATTGATTGGTATGAACAGGACCAGTGAGTTTTCTTTTTCTCTGTTCCTTAGCTCTGCTTCCACAATGTCAGCATCATTCACAGCAGGCACGCCCTCCTGCCTCCAAGAGTCACCAGCAGCTTCCTCTTCCGCAGCTGTGAGTAAATGAGAGGGTCCGCTCCACCCAATAGCTTAAATCCCAGTTTCAGGATTTGACCTGCGGCCGATCAGTCTAGGGACACAGGCCCATTCCTGAGCCCATCACTGTGGCTGGAAAGGTGGGAGACACTGACTAGTCTAAGCCAGTCAAGCCCTCTCAAGACCAAATCGCGTGGGCAAGAAATTTAGGACAAGGGCAGGAAGAAGGAAGAGAAAAGAGAATGTCAAGGAGACAAACGACAAATCGCTACCACTCCATCCCTCCTACAAGAGAGATGTATTCCCCCCATTTCATGGAGGAGGAAACTGACGGTCAGAGCGGCCAAGAAACAGGATGGTGCTCTCCTGTACGTAGGCACGTGCCGAAAGGGTGTGTACAGTCCTGATACTACTTTCCCCAACCCACGGGTGGACCTCACTCTACAAGCCAAAGGATACAAATGGAGACGAGGCTAATTTTTGCCCCTCAAACTGGCAAAGGTGAATAAAACCATGTTTCTTGATGCTGGGGAGTGTGGAGCCAGGCAGACTGTTTACTCCTGCCTGCTAACGTAGATGTTACCATGAGCTTTCTGGAAGCAAGAGCTTCTATATTGCATTTAGAGCATTTTATACCCTTTGACTTCCAGAAATTTTGCTTCCAGGAATTCACGTGGCCGTGATGGGAGATATGGACTTGAATGATACCTAAAGCTGTCCACGGCTGTGTTACTCGCAGCGGGGAAAACCTGGCACCTCCATGATCTTGGTCTTTTACACTTACTTGTCATTGGTATCCATCTCAGTCCACCAACTGCCACGTGTAAGAAAAACGCAGCTCTCTTTATTGTTCTAGAAATGAGTTTAATTTTTATTTTCAAGACTCCAAGATGATCAGTGGACAAAAACCTAGTCCCTGTCAGCTGGGGGACCCCCACCGCGTTTCCCCTGTGGATTGCATCTTGCACTGGCACCTATGAGTTTCTCGGTGTAATGTGGTTGTCAGTCTTCCATCCGTTTGGTCACCACCTGTGTCCCCCTATTCCTGATCCTATAGGCTCCTCTGGCCCCACAGCTCTCTGTGTATAGAAGACATTCTCCATCCAGGACCAGGATGTGGAAACGAGGCAGCAGGTCAGGCCCTCTGCTTGGACCCCACAGGCAGTCAGGCAGTCATTGCTTCTGCTCACGCAGTGCTGATGCAGGGACGTTGGGGTCTTCTTGCTTCCCGTGGGAATGGCAGCTTAGGCCTCCTCTGCCTCAGATCCCCACACTTTCATGGAGGTTTGGGGATTCCTTAGCTGGTCTGGGGTAATAACCATTGCCTTTACACCAACCTCCTGATTTCTTCCACATCTTCTTCCTACGTCAGAAGCAAGGCAGTTAGCACAGAATGCCTCAGCTGCCTGGATATTTTGGGAGTAGGGTGGTGCATGAAAAAGACTCTAGAGGAACCTTTGTTAGAATCCCAAATAGCGTCCAGGCATGGTGGCTCACGCCTATAATCCCAGCACTTTAAGAGGCTAAGGTGGGCAGATCACCTGAGGTTGGAAGTTTGAGACCAGCCTGATCAACATGGAGAAACTCTGTCTCTACTAAAAATACAAAAATTGTCTGGGCATGGTGGTGCATGCCTGTAATCCCAGCTACTCAGGAGGCTGAGGCAGGAGAATCGCTTGAATGCGGGAGGCGGAGGTTGCGGTGAGCTGAGATGGTGCCATTGCACTCTAGGCTGGGCAATAAGATCAAACTGTATCTCAAAAAAAAAAAAAAAAAAAAAAAAGAAAGAAATTCTCCTACCTCAGTCTCCTGAGTAGCTGGAATTACACACCTGTGCTACCACACCTGGCTAATTTTTTTTTACTTTTAGTAGAGATGGCATTTCGCCATTTTAGCCAGGCTGGTTTCGAACTCCTGGCCTCAAATAATCCTCCCACCTCAGCCTCCCAAAGTGCTGGGATTACAGGTGTAAACCACCACACCTGGCCCTTCAAAGCTTTTTTAATCCCCCAAGCTTGTAGAATCTTCCATGCAGGGGCAGTAATACTCTCTTGGAGCTTGTCAGGGAGCTGGGCTTCAGGACACGTTCAGCTCACACTCCCAGCCCACTCTGTACCTGCAGATGCCTGGTGGCTGGTGGTGTGGCCTGACCCAGAGATGGCCAGTTGGTGGCTCTTGGTGGGCCCTGGGGTATCTGCAGAAGACTCCCTGTAAGCCTGCCTGGCAGGCAGCACCAAAGGCACATCACCCGAGACACTTGTTTCCTGGAGTATATCTTTCTGTTGGGGTTCCCCACTCCAAAGGCAGACCCCAAGACAGGGCTTGGTACAGGTAATTTATCTGGGGCTTGATTCTGGGGACCAGGGGAAGAGAATAGAGAAGGATGCAAGTGTCACAAGTTAGCCTTTGGTATGGGGGGGCAAGGCTCCATCTTGCTGGAACATTCTGAGAAGCCTTAAGAAATACATCTCTGAACTGTCTACCTGGGGGATGGAGGAAACAACATTTACCCATCAGACTCTGTCCCTGCCAGTAGAGGTGGCCCCGTAGGTGTTAAGTCCCCTGCACACCTGGGCTTTGCCTGTGTGAGCCCCTCCCCTACTTCAGAGAAGGGGCTCCAAGTGCTATGGGGTGACCCTTGATAAATGTCACTGGAAGTCTGTGTAGAACTGGTCCCTGCAGCAGTGGCCGGAAAAGGTGTGGCAGGGGCAGTGAGAGGTTTCACAGAGTGATAGAATCCCCCAGTGTTCCCTACTTTTTTTCTGTGTCCTTACTGAAAATCATAGAGCGTCTTGACCCAGGGCCTGTGACCCAGCCAGCTCCAAGTTTTTTCACAGCAGGATTGAATCCAAATTAGGGCTTTGAACATTCCTAGGCACTGACAAAGCTATCTAGGGTTACTAGAAAGAAACTGGCCCAGCCCGGGCTGCTGACGTGACATCGGTAGCCACCCCTTTCTCTCGTGGTCCTTCAGAGGGTTGCCGTAGCACTCTGTAAGTTCCCCAGACCACCCTGGTGTTGAGGGCCTCTTTCGTTGGAATCTCTGGCTCTATACAGTACAGTTTGGGGCACTCCTTTGTGGGAAATCCCTGGTCATTGTTTTTGGGGGTGGTTCCAGCTATGGATTTGCAGAGATGAAACGATGGGCATGAAGGAGGGTGCAGTACCCGCATCTCTGCCTCGCTGGCTCCCTCACTCTCCTGCCCCTGGCCCAGGAGGTGCTGTGGGGTAGCCTGCAGTAACGGTCCCTCTCAGTCCCTAGACTTGAAGACCACAGCTAGACTTCCATATTTTTTTGGAGATGGAGTCTCACTTTGTCGTCCAGGCTGGAGTGCAATGGCACGATCTTGGCTCATTGCAACCTCCGCCTCCCAGGTTCAAGTTATTCTCATGTCTCAGCCTCCTGAGTAGCTTGGATTATAGGTGTGCACCACCATGCCCGGTTAATTTTTCTATTTTTATTAGAGATGGGGTTTTGCCATGTTGGCCATGTTGGTCTCTAACTCCTGAACTCAAGTCATGCACCCACCTCAGCCTCCCAAAGTGCTGGGATTACAGACCTGAGCCACCACGCCTGGCCATTTGTGTGTCTTTCTTGATGAGCACTTGCTCTGTTCCAGCCCTGTGCTGGGCATATTCACTGCCCCGCCCTCCCCTGCCCTGCCCTGCCCTCCCCTCCCCTCCCCTCCCCTCCTCTCTTTTCTTCCCTTTTCTTTCCTTCTCTTCTCTTTGCTTTTCTTCCCTTGCCTCCCCTTGCTTCCCCTTCCCTTCCCATCCTTTCTTTTCTTTTTAAGTCACCTCGTATATTAGTCTTTTGTCACATTGCTGATAAAGACACACCTGAAACTGGGAACAAAAAGAGGTTCAATTGGACTTACAGTTCCACATGGCTGGGGAGGCCTCAGAATCATGGCAGGAGGTGAAAGGCACTTCTTACATGTAGGCGGCAAGAGAAAAATGAGGAAGAAGTAATATATCTCCTGAGACATATTTACTATCACAAGAATAGCATGGGGAAGACCGGCATCCATGATTCAGTTACCTCCCCCTAGGTCCCTCCCATAACCACATGAGAATTCTGGGAGATAAAATTCAAGTTGAGATTTGGGTGGGGACACAGCCAAACCATATCACCAGGCTGAAATGGAGTGGCACACTCACAGCTCACTGCCGCCTTGAACTCCTAGGCTGATGTCACCCTCTCCCTTCCAAGCAGCTGGGACTACAGGCTGGAGCCACCACACCTGGCTAATTTTTTTTGTTTGTTTTTTGAGAAGTTGGGGAGTCTTGCTACTTTGCCAAAGCTGGTCTCAAACTCCTGGCCTCAAGCAGTCTTCCCCCTACAACTCCCAAAATGCTGGGACTACAGGTGTGAGCCACAACACCTGGCCACTTTGACATCTTATTTGATCCTCCCAATTGTACAAGGCAGTCATTACTTCCCTCTGCATTTTACAGGGGAGGACACCAGACCCAACGAAGTGAAGAAACAAGCCCCAGGTTACTTGGCTGGGCAGGAGTGAGGTGCAGATTGTCAGCCAGACGTCACTCCTGCCCCTTGACCTCCAGCATCCCATCCCCTGCATCCCTGCTCCCACTCCCTGCTTCTGCAGCTCAGCCTTCTAGGCCAGACCACCCAGGTGAAAGGCAGGCACTATATTTTCCATGGCAGAGAGACTTGGGGAGGTACTGAGTGGGAGGAGATGAAGTAGGTGGCTGCAGAAGCTCTGCCAGGTGGGGGTTGTGCCCTCTCTTATTTCTGAGCCCCCACCCCAAACTATCCTGCAGCCCTCAGTCTCATCTCTCCATTATCTCTTCCTTACCCCCCACCCTGAGACTCCCAGAGGGTCCTCATGGCCTGTCTAGTCTGGCATTCCCTTAAAATAGCAAAATCCTTTGTGGAAATGACGTCTTACATGGACTCCTGGCACATCACACAGATTAGAGCACGTCTGGTCTGGTGTCAGTCAGGGTTAGGGACAGGGTGCCACTTTCTCTTCCTCCTATTCAAGATGCCCCTGAGCCATTGTGGAGAACCCTGGGGTCCCAATGAATGCACTTTGGAACCCCCTAGCCTGGTCCATACTCCTCCTTGAGCAGATGAGGAAACGGGACCCAGTGAGGTTCCCTGACTTGTTTAAGGTCATCTGGGGAGTCAGAGGTGGAGGCAAGGCCTGAGTTGCATGGTGTCCCAGGCATGTGTCCCCAGAGTCCTCTACATTGTCACATGGAGCCTTCCAGAGCTGCACTTTGTGAAATTCCCAATGCAAATACTATGCCTGTGCTGGTGCTGCATTTGCTCACAGCTGCAGAGGCTGGTGCTTCCACAGCCTTATCACTAAAGCAGGCATCTCATTCCCGGCCTCCTCCACCCTGCTCTCCAGGTGGAGATAAGGGGCATTATCTGTCTCAGAGAGCGGAGCTCCAGGAGCGGACGTAATAAATGGTGTTTGCTGAGAAGCGCTGTGTTCGGAAGAATCTCCTTGAAAAAAGACCCAGAAATAGCTCTGCAGACTCCACATTCCCCAAGGCCTGACTTCCCCAGGAAACTCAAGGACCATGCGATGTGACACCTTGGAAGACCCCTGATTTTACAGGGCCACTTTCTCAGGGGGATCCCCCAGAGAGGACCCCAACATGACTCAGGGATGAGCTGGGTTACCAGCTGGCAAGACGAGTACGCAGGATCCCGCTGGCCTCCATCTGGCTGCATGGCAGTTAAGTCTCTGCACCTCTCTGGCCTCAGTTTCTCCATCTGTACCGGAAGCCCTTGGCCTGGATAATCCCTAGTGCCTTAGTAGTCCAGGCAGCCTTTGTCTTCTGAACCCCATGCTGCTTTGGGTGACGCAGATGCAGGTGAGGCTTGGGGGTTCCTGCCCCTGCCTGCCTGCTCAGGGAAGGCACTCCACAGCCGCCTTCCCTCCCTGCCAATGGCTCCCGCCTGCTCCCCTCCCAGAGGACTGACTCCAAAGGAAGCCTGTCGTTTGTCAGCAGAGCTGCCTCGCCCAGCAAAGAGGCTTTCATCTCTGTGAGCAGGACTTCCCACCGCATCAGTAGAAACTTTTGGCTGGGGAAGACACAGGCTCCTGACTCCGGTGGGAGCCTTCGGCGAACCCAGCCTCTTGTCCTCTGGAATGTCATGGCTGGAGCTTAGTGCGGGAACTAGTGGGTGGCTTAGTTGTTAAGAGGACAACTTTGGAGTAAAGCAGCCCTAGTCTTGAATTCTGGCTTTGCCACTTCCTTCTGTCTGACCTTGAGCTAGTCACTTAATCTTTATCTGACTCTGCTTCCCTAACTGGGATACGGAGACTAATAACAGTATGTAATTAAATTATAGGAATGACTCAAGAAATAAATGATAACAAGTATAAAACACCCAGCACTCTGCCTCCCACGGTGGAGACTCTATTGTGATAAACTGATTGCATGAACAACCTCAAGTGTTCAGTCTTTCCCATACCTACAGGCTTTGCAATGAGACTCAAGAGGCAGAGGTGATCGTCCCATGCTCTGTACCTGGTCTGGCCTTGTGACATGCCGTGGCCATGGAATGTGGTGGAAGCAATGATGCGCCAGTTCAAATTCTAGGCCTTGTACATTTCTGCTAGAGTGCTCTTGCATTTCCGTCATTGTCAGGAGAACATGCCTGGCTCCCTGGGGGAGAAGAGACATGGGGAAGAGCTGTGTTGCCTTAACCGAGGCCAGTCCAGATCAGCCAACCAACCCCCAGACACAAACCAGAGCCACCCAACTGGCCCATAGACTCATGAGCTTAATAAATGCCACTGGTTTCAAGCCACTGAGTTT